TAAGTAAGTAAGTAAGTAAGTAAGTAAGTAAGTAAGTAAGTAAGTAAACATATGAATCTCGTAGTAAACATATGAATCTCGTATCTTTTGAAGTATAATTCACAAATAGAGTGTTCCCTTTATTCAGAAACCTAAACTATGCAATTTAGTTGTATTATAATTAAATGCTAGAATAAACGCCAGTGTCAATCCTGTCCACCGCTTGGTGTCGCTACTGTTTCAGAATGGCTCTTGTCAACCCYCCATTAAACCTAAAAGAAGATCATTCATTTTATTTTTTTTAAACATTTTTTTTTAGCAAAACACAAGCTATCTAATGGCCGAGTTAGACGTTGGGAAACACTGTCAGGTTGATTCTTGTAATCTAAAAGGTCCGTTTTAGTTTCATCCGAAGTATTACGAATAAAAATGTGTATGTGTGTGTTTACTTAGCGAGGCACGCTCTAGCGCGACTAGCATGTTAGCTTTTTAGCACGGTACATTAGCAGGTAGGCTAACTGTTGTCACTTCGTCTTGTAAACATACAGTTRAGAGCGAAATTAGTTCGACTTGACTTGTAGTTATTTACTCAAGTTATTTATTCAAGTCATTTTTAAAAGTACAAGTCAGTTAAACAAGCTTTACAAAAGTTTTTTTTGTTGTTTATTTGGATTTTAGYGCTTAAAGCCTAATCTTTATCCATTGTTTCCCCTTTACTATTTTAGATTTCCTTCCATTTGTTTGCGACTCCTGCAGTGGTGTTTATTGGTGAGTATATAGTTCCTTTCAGACTTGGAATTTATTAGTTATACTTATCTGAAATGAAGGCATCACGTGTCACCACTAAATTATAAAATATGTACTTGGAAAATGGAATAGAAAAACGGATGCAAATAATCAACACATAGGTTATTACTTTTTGTCTTACATGTTTTGGGAAAGTTTGTCATGTTTTTTCCCCCCAATTGTGACACTTATTCTTCTGCCTTTAACAGTCTTGAGCACAGAAGCAGAGAGGCCCACTCATGTTCAGAGGTTGGCTATTTTCATATGTGGCACGCTGATGATAGATTTCCCCAAACTATGTTTTTATTGTGACTGTTTTGTTCAATATTGTATCAGGAGCCAGTTAAAAGGGAATCCCGGACTACTGGTGAAAGCTTGAGTTATCCATGCTCATTTGAAGACTGCAAGGGAAAAGAACTGCTGCCAGTTGTGTGTCGACAGTGTGAAAAACATTTCTGTTTGGTGTAAGTTTATCCTTTTTTATTTCATTTTTTGTTTTAAAATTAAAAATTATATATATTTTGAGCTCTACTGTTTATTATTTAGACTTCAAAATGAATTATAGGAAAAGGTTTGCAATATATTTTATTACTGGAACAAATAAACAGTTTATTTGTATTTATTCCATTAATTCCCTCCAGCCATCGTCATCAAGATGATCACAAGTGTGAGAAGTTGGAGGTCCAAAAGCCTCGAATGTCTGCCACCAAAGAGCTGGTGCAAAAAATTGTTGGTCAGTTAAATAAGTTCAGGCTGCATTTTCTCTGCCATCTCTAAAATACTTCTCTTAGTTAATTCATCATCACTTAAAACACACCTGGTACACCTTTAACTAGCATCTATTTAGATTATGTTTTTCTGTCTCCTTCATTATTCATGTCCATGTCAGAATCAAAGGATGGATCTAAAAGCAAAGGGCGCAAAGGAGCGAAGAATGCAGCCACAGCAGCTAAAGTAGCTCTGATGAAACTGAAGCTGCATGCTGCAGGAGATAAGGGACTGCCACAGGTAACGCTCCKTTTTACTTTTATTTCAAAATTTCATTATACTTACAGCCTCTGGACATGTTGCACATAGATGTTCAAGTGCCTGCCATCGTTTTATGCTTTTCAGACAGAAAGAACCTACTTTCAAGTGTATCTTCCGAAAGAAGCCAAAGAGTGCAGCAAACCAATGTTCTTCTCGTCTAAATGGAGTGTGGGAAAAGTAGTGGATTATGCTGCCTCTATTGCCAGCCTCAAGAACAACAATAATGTACTGACAGCAAAGGTAAAAAGAGAGGAAGAAAATGAAAGACACAATCTTCTTGCGTCAAATTTCAAGAGCTATCTGCATATCTACAGCACATATACATTTTTGAGCATACCTTATTCAGATGTTTAGTTTGAACACTATTTAACCTATTTTTTAGGCTAACAGCCAGTGAGTAAACAAGAGTTTTGCTTGTTGATGCTTATAAATAATTCTAAATAAAGCTTCAGTAGCAAATTGTCATTACGTTTTAAAAAGTGGGACTTTTATCTCCTTTRAAAAAACACAAATATTTGAAACACTTTAGTTTTTTTCTTTTATGGATATGCAGCAAAGTACTATTAATTTTTTTGTTATATATATTTAGTTCATATAAAATCTATAAGTTGTTTATTCTATACTAATTTAAAATAATTATTACTTAAGTTAGAGTTCACAGAACTAAATTGTTTGGTGTCATAACTGTAATTCTTATTAAAACATCTGACTGAACATCATCCTCTCCATTTGCAGAAGCTGCGGCTCTGTCATCCTCAGACAGGTGAGGCCCTACAAATGGATGACACCCTGGTCTCACTTCTGGCCCACCCAGAAACACCCCTTCATAATGGGGGTAATATTATCCTGGAGTACTTAGACAATGAGAGCCAAGGCCTTGATGTTTTTGACTATATTACTTTGACATGACCGATCAACAGCATGTATGTTTTGTTTATAATTATGTCAAATATTCTATTGTGTAGTTGGATTTGTGTTGTACAGCATGATCTGAATCTGGTTTTTTAAAGCAAACTGCATGTGGATAAGCAGGACTTTTAGACATTCAATAAGCTTTATTGGATTTTGAAAGTACAGTGCATTCATGTTGTTGCATTTCACATCAGGTTACTATAGACTTGACAAAATATTAGTTTACTATACTTTTGTTATTTGTTAAGATCAAACTATTTAAAGACTACTACCCTTTAAAGTGAACTTTTTTTTCACAAATAAATTTCTTGAATTTGTTGTTGTTGACTGTTTTTGTGTTCACATTGCTCAATCTAATAGGTGAACAGTTTTAACCAATCACCGTTGATGCTGCCCATAGTGATAGGCTCCAGCAGCCAATCACAAGAAGACATGAAGGGGGGAAAATGGGCGGAGCATCAGCGCAGTGTATATAAAGGAAAAGGGGCAGGGTCGTTACTACAGAAGATGCTGTTTTGATGATAATAGACCCGTTTGTTTAGGTAATCGACAAAAACAGCGGAATCAGAACTCATCCGGGATCTAGGTTTGGTAGCTTTTGCTGCTCTTCCGATCGAGTCGCCAAGGAAGGAGCGACTTGATCCTTTCTAGTATAGATCGCTTGAAAAATTAGGTCGAAAGGGATGCCGCTGCAGATAGACTCCGACGGACGCCAACAGTCTCTGGATGTAATCTCATCGCATTTAATCGGGAGGAGCAGTTTCTGTATAAACTTAAAAGGCTTCAGAGTAACCCATTCTCGACCGAGTGTCTTTGTAAGATACTTAAGCTCAAGTTCACATTAATAACTCCGCTGTGACGCGAAGGTTAAAGTGTAATAACCAGCTAGGTTAACACAAGCTAGCGTTAGCTGGTCGACAACAAAAGRGCGGATCGGTAATCCTCGGCAACGCTTCGTCGGAGAGGTCGAGTCTGTAACGSAAAAGTCGACCGCGCGGAGTTCGGACCCCGCCGTTGTCTGCCTGTGCTGAAGATATTTTCAAGGTAAGTGAATAATATTCAACGTTTGCGAACCAGGAAGAGTGTTTTGTCAGAGCTGGTGGGGGAGGGGTAGTGGTTGGTTTGAGTCGGAGGAAATGGGTGTTTTGGTCGGAAATGCGTCCTCGCGAGGCGCTGCTGTAACATCTTTATAACTGCACGTTCAAGTTTATTTTTTTAATGTTTAATATGATGTAGTAACGTTTGCAAATATGCGTTTGTTTCATTTAGGTAATTCAGAGACAGAGTAATGCATATTTATTGTTTTAATGTGCCTTTAAACCTAAGGGTTTATAGTTACGTTTTGCCCTTTTTATTTCTTCAGACAGCCATGAAACTGTTGGAAAACTCCAGCTTTGAAGCCCTCAGCTCCAGACTGTGCGTCGAAACCGGAGAGTCTCGCATCCTTGGCAGGTAAAGAGAACCTGTATTACAACAAACAGGAAACTTAGTGAAAAATGCTACCAACTCAGCTTCCTTATTTTTGGTATTTCAGGAGTTTCACAGCTCTTTTTCGCCTTTTGTTTTGTGGCACCTGAATGCAACATTAAATTAACTCCAGCTTTTGTACCAATTCTTTGAAAGTAATTTGATCCTCATCAGACCCCAACATTAAAATCAACACAGGTCATGTCTAGCTATATTTGTCACTATAGCAAACCAGGGCCAAGGTTTTTATTTTCTTTAACAGTGTTTTGCCCTATTTTGTTTTGCTGTGGTGCTTTTTAGCTTGTGTTGCAAGCAGAGCAAGGACTAATGACTATCCATAAAGTAGGGAAATAAGTGTTTATTGCTGTTGGCAAGTYGAAGGAAAAGGTTTGGCTTGTAGTGCGTAATGGAAAAGTTGTTGGAGTTTACAAGGGGTGTAAAGTGATTTAATCAAAGACTCCTCTCCTAATTAAGGGTAGTAGAGGTCTACTAAAGGCCTACTTTCAGGGCATGTGTTGAAAGTTCAGAGATAACCGACAGGACCTTTTTTTTTTTTGCTCAGCAGACCGTTAAAGGCACCAGTCTGCTTCAGGTTATGTAAATTCCCTACAGCTGAATCTGCAGATACAAACACACTGAGCGTGGTTACATAAAATTGTGGGGGGTTTCGCAGTTATGTAGTTTGACGTGTGGGCGGCGAAACTGAGCTATGTCGGTTGTGACCTACAGTGACGCAGATCACGGTGTCTTCTCACAAGACCCRGTGGTTATTTTGGAGACTGTTGTCAAGTGTGTTATTTGTATTAGTGGGAACACGCACAATWTGTGAGTGTTGCTTAGTGGAACAGTGGGGCATTGCCTTCGCAGTGCTTCTTTTTATTGGATTAAAATGATGCACAATGTTACAAAAAAAAACGTCGTCGTTTGTTTGGTGCGGGGCAGTACATTCGCAAATAATAMCTTTTCCCCTAATAAATATGTAAGKTATCTGTCATTGGAGATGCACAAGTGCAGTCTTGATCTTCCCGGCTTCAGTGTCCTTGTGGTCATCTGGTTACCCGCGGTGTTCGAAGGGAGGCTCAGCTGTGTTGTGTTTTTAAATATCAGTCCTGCTATTTTCCACTCTGTCTCTATAATTAGCCTGTCAAAATCCGGGGGGAGGGATCGCCACCGTTAGTCTGTCCTAAGCTGCACCGTGCTCTTGCAAAACCCCGCCGTGTGTGAGTGTGATGGAGCAAAATAAACAACTGCACACCAGTCTGCTGCACTCAGATATCCGTATCAGCGGCGTCTGACCCAGATACGTGAACGCAGACTCGACTTGTMTTGGCTTAAGATAGGACTACTGGAGGAGAGACACCGATGTAAATAAGCTGCAGATGGGTTTCCTACTACAAACAATACAGTTAGTGAAACTGAAGAAATAGACCACAATTAAGRGTTTTATGTCCAACCTTTGTACCCAGCGGAGCGCTTCCATAATTCCATTTGAAAGCTTTTATCCTTTATGCCCTGCAGGATCGAGAGCTACTCCTGTAAGATGGCAGGAGACGATAAGCACATGTTCAAGCAGTTCTGCCAGGAGGGGGAGCCWCATGTCCTGGAGGCCCTTTCTCCTCCTCAATCCACTGGCACCACAAGCCCCTCACAGTGAGTTTAGCGGCCCTGTTGCACATGTATAAATGATGAGTGGTGGGGGTTGTTCTGAATCCTGTTTCTGTCCGGGTGCAGGCTGGGGAAGAGCAGCGAGGATGGGGAGAACCCTCTGAGTGATAAAGTTTGCAGGAAGACTCTGTTCTACCTCATCACCACGCTCAACGAGTCCTTCAGGCCGGACTACGACTTCAGCGCCGCTCGGGCCCACGAGTTCAGCAGAGAGCCYAGCCTCAACTGGGTTAGTCACCTTCACCGAGTGTGACAGGTGAGTTAAAAACAGACGAGTAAAGATCTGATGTGATTTCTCTCCAGGTGGCCAACGCCGTGAACAGCAGCTTGTTCTCYGCTGTAGGGGAGGAGTTTAACTCTCTGCGGCCCGAGCTGTGGAACGCCATCGACCAGGAGATCAACCTGCCGAGCTGCGATATATACAGGTGGGTGATTGGYGGTGGTGTTTGCTCTACTTTAAATTCACCAATGTGTCCAACGAAGCGATTTTAAGTTTTCGTATTGCTTCCTCAGCTACAACCCGGATCTGGACTCGGACCCTTTTGGTGAGGAGGGGAGCCTTTGGTCCTTTAACTACTTCTTTTACAACAAAAAGCTGAAGAGGATTGTGTTCTTCACGTGTCGCTCTGTCAGGTCCGCAGCAGTTACACACAATAAATACAAAATGTAACAAACATCACACACCTGATCACATCTTTGACACGTGCAGCGTCCTGAGTGGCTACGGCCGTGGTTGTCTCGACAACGAGCTGGACATGGAGCTGGAGGACGAGGAGGAAATGGACGGCTTTACTGAGGAAGGGTGAGACGGCTTGGAATCTTCCAGAGTCTTTTGTTTTTTTTCCCTAAAATATTATTCTGTTTACATTTTTTTCTCTCTCTCTCGCTCAGGTGCCCCAGAGCTCTGTGTGTGTAAATCCTGGCTACGCCTCCTAAATATCTGTAAACTCAAAATTCACATTTTTTTTCCCCTTTTCTTTCCCTGTGGGATTTCGCTGCCTCATCCAGAACCATTGGTACTTTCTAAACTACTGCATGTTTGTTCCCTTTTTTGGTGAACTGTGTGCTGCAGAGGTGGACGTTTTCTTTAAAAACGACAAAAAAAGACGCCCCACGGCCGCATCAAGCTCCTTGATTTATTACCCACTTTTTTTTTACCCTGAAGTCCTCAGAGAACCTTTCTTCTCTGCGTTTAATCAAGGACAACTTGTTATGAGCATGCGAAACAAAGTGGATTTATGGCAGAGAAATTGTGAAACAGACTGCCAGCAAGTTTGGTGTCCAAAAAGAAGAAGGAGAAGAAAAAAAAGTCCAGGTAACAGCAGCAAGAGTGAGACATTTCTTTTTAGTCCAGCCCAGGGCAGAGCCGAGTCCACGAAAAGCCTGAAAAGACTGACTGAACAGCTGATGGCTTGACATGTGTTCAATGTTCCTTTATTTGTGTGACGTTACTGTGACATGTTAGAAATAAGCTTTTATTACTCAAACGTATTGTATGATCGCTATTTCCAACCTTTCGTCTGTACCTTTGGACAGGAAAAGTTTGGTCAGGTATCTGGTTTTCAGCTTAGAAAACATATCAGCTTTTATTCCKCTTTTTGTTTATAAAACAAGTTTATTCCCTAAATTTCTGTTAACTGAATTTTGATTATTGCTCTGTTGCAAAGGCATAATTACAAGTGAATGTATATTAAAGATGAAAAACATTTTAGAAACTGCATAGCAAACGTTCACTAAAATGTGAAACGTTCTAACTCCTGTGCTTTAATCTAGCTATTGTTGCAGATTGTAATAAATGTTTGTATCTGAGGTGACTTGAATCCGGTACTCAAAAATGGCAGTTGAGCATTTTACCTTTTCATTAACTCATCAAAATGACAGCAAACAGTTTAAAAAACAACCCTTTATTGAAAACAAATACAGTACATGATCCTGATGAGATGTTACCACAGTATATGATCGGTTTCTTTGTGGGCTCGAGCTGAAAGCTGGGAACTTGGTTGCTGAAGATGGAACAGCTGCACGGTTCCTGTTTGTGTACAAGGGCTTAACGCCACAACTCCTCTGTATGGATTCCAGGTTTTCAATTTGAATTCAGGCTCACTGGAATTCATGCACCACCTCCTGTTTGGCCACTTAAGAGCTTGTAAAAGCTATACTAGGTTTCAAAGTGACACGTGCATAGATCTGATAAGTTCAAGGAATTATTTTAACAGGTAAATAAAGAGAATCCCCCAGACTGTCAGGTTTCCACACGTAGTCCCCCAAACATCCAGAACAGCTCTGTTAAGGCTGGGGATCATGTATTTCACTATATTCCACTGAAAACTACAGTGCAGATGGTTAYTGAGAACTAACTCCCTATATGTGAATGGCACATCTTTGATGTTTAACTGATCCCTTGAGTACAAAACGTTTCAACAGCAATGTGGCGCCAAAATGGCAGCAGGAATAAAAAAAGATCATGTATCCGTACATAACAGCTTAGTATGTGGTGAATTGACAGTTATGGTCACTAAAAACAGACTATAGAGTAAACAGAATTAAATAAATTCATGCATTATTTTGGAAATGTTTAAAATGCTGCCAATTGTGAGTTCATAATCAATTGTTGAAGGGTCGACCCCCAAAAACAACAACAAAAAAAAGCTATACCAACATTTTGAGCTGATATATATA